AATCTAATTACATGTGTGTCAGCGGCCACTGAGGGGAGGAAAACACAGCAGGTAATTAACTTTGGATGAGGTTCAAGGGGAGGATGCAGATCATCCACTAGCTATATTCCTGTGATTAACTGCTCTTTATTGTTTATTGTTGTCCTCAGTTTGCTAGAATCCACGGTCATAGTAAGCTAGATATTTTAAGGCATGACACTACAGGTAGATTGTAAAAATGATGAAGCACATGTCAATCATTTTTCAGATCAATAACATGTCTACCCTGTCTGACTGTAGTAATAAAAATGTCAAAACTCTATTTTATGGTTTTTGTACACTTATAACCACTGAAATAATCATCTGAAAGTAAGTTGAAAGTAAATTGAAAGCAATTTTGAAGAAAACTTAAGCTCCTCCCACTTGGCACTCATAACCATTGTGACATAGACACAATTGCATAGAGTGTCTTTGTATGCTGTAGTGAACAATGCCCCTGTGCACAAAGCGAGCTCCATGAAGACATGGTGTGTTAAGGTTGGAGTGGAAGAACTCGAGTGTCCTGCACAGAGCCCAGACCTCAACTCCACTGAACACCTTTGGGATGAACTGGAACACTGACTGAACCCCAGGCCTCCTCACCAACATCAGCGCCTGACCTCACTAATGCTCTTGTAGCTGAATGAACACAAATCCCCACAGCCACGCTCCAAAATCTAGTGGAAAGCCTTCCCAGAAGAGTGGAGCTTATTATAACAGCAAAGGGGGAGTAAATCCGGAATGGGATGTTCAAATGTTCATGGTCACATGTCCATAAACTTTTGGCCATATAGCGTATATCCCTGAAGAGCTTATATATATATATAAAATGTGAACCTTGTAAACCACACTCGCTAGTGTGTGAAACCATAAAATCATTTATTTTTAAACCTGTTCTCCAAATAGGAAATTATCATTCTTATCCCTGTTTAGAAGTATATAACAAAGGAATTTCTCAAAATGTTGATAATTGTTGGATTTACACTTTGATTTTATTCTGAAAAATGGCATTAAAATAATGGCAATTTGTATTGCATGGTTTTTCCATGACTAAATGATAAATAAATAAAACTCCAAACAAACTGTTATGTAAATTTCTTTCTCTGAAAAGTGTTCAATGTTCAATACAAAAATATACTTGTAAGAATATCAGAAGACTGATTGTGATATCTAGTGTTTTGAAAGAAATTACCCTATTCACCTGTACTATCTTGCCACTCAGCTGCTTCAGTAATCATATAGACACTATAAGTGCAAATGGCTGCTCAGACTGAATTCTGTAATCAGCATAATCTGCAGCATGGATTTATTTCATTATTTAGAAAGACTACTATAAAACTTTATTTTGCTGCTACTTGGTACTCAAGGATACATTATTCATATAAGCTTCTAACTGACTGTAAATTATTGCACCCAACACTTAATATTAACTCAGTTCATACAGTCCTCTGTGCATTATGCATTACAGGCTCTATAGTCATACAGACGTAAGCATAACTTGGTAGTATAATGTCCTCGTTCTTCAGATTCTTTTGGGTGTTGGGCGATTTTCTTCCAGTCGTCTCAAAGTTGCTATTTTCATGCTCAGAAATGAACATGTCTGCACACACTCTGTTTATTTACAGGGATATACTGTACAGGAACTGTTTGGATTGGAATACGTATTCATTCTAACCCAAGCTCTTTTTACTATTATGCAAAGCTAATGGTTATGGACAGTTAAAGATTGGAAAAAAGTATCTTTTTGGTCTTTTTCCAATCTCCACCTGTCCAGGTTTGGTGAGCCTGTGCCCACTGGAGCCCACCGGAGCCTCAGATGCTGTTCTTGGCGGACAGACATGGAAGCTGACGTGGTCTTCTGCTGTTGTAGCACATCTGCCTCAAGGTTTGATATTTTGTGCGTTCTGAGATGCTTTTCTGTTCACCACAGTTCTCATCAACAAGGCATTTTCACCTACAGAACTGCTGCTTACTGGAGGATTTTTTGTTTTTTCTCACTCTAGAGACTGTTTTGTGTGAAAATCCCAGGAGATCAGCAGTTTCTGAAATCATCAAACCAGCCTGTCTGACACCAACAACCATGTCACAGTCACATTTTCCCCCCATTCTGATGTTTAATATCTGTGTTTCTGTCACTTGATTGGCTGATTGAATAATTGCATAAGTAAGCAGGTGTACAAGTCTTCCTAATGAAGTAGATGATGAGTGTATATAGATTTGTTCAAGTTTTTAACCCACTTGTATAACTTTTGTTTGGATCGTATTCACTGAAGAGTTTCGCCTTTAAATAAGAGAATGCAATATCTTAGTATCACAAGTAAATTTGGGCCGAGATTTTAGTTCAACTGCAATAGATTTACACTAAGGACTAAGGGCACATAGATCCTATGGAGAAACGGAGAAAATGTATCCTCATTCAGTATCATCAGGGACTAGAAGATCTAATTTAGGAAAATGGAAAACCTCTCATTTTATGTATCTCATAAACTATTCACAAAATGACAGGAATGAGGTTCTTCTCCTTTAAGATGGTCAATGCCGTCACACCACAGCACCCATCAACACACTGACCTCTGCTGCAGAGAATATTGTCTGCCCATAATACTGCTGTCATAAATATCACATTGACCGATTACCTCGGAATAGTGACTATGGCCGAAGCGGAACCGTCCTCTAAATTTAGGCGTGCATTGATCAGGACATCCACTGGGCTCAATAAATGAATTACCTTGGGAGAGATGGCAGCAAATGGCTTTGTGTCTGATGCATATGCTCTCATTCGCTCTGGTATCTGGAGACAACAGTGGTTGGGGGGGGGGGGGGGG